GTATCGCTAGTAGGTTGGAGGCCATCGCTGGTAGGTTGGAGGCCATCATTAGACTTTCACAAGAACAACACACCCCACAACTCCCCTCGAAGCTGCAGACTTTCAAAAGACGGTCCCAAATTCGCTTCGCGCCATGACCAGGACGGGCGTGATGAGGAGAATCGGACGACGGACCCCTTCGAGGAGCTGGAGGGAGTGTGGCTGAAGGGATCCCTTTGACACCGTTTTGTGGTGAAAAGACGAGGCATCCCTTTTGGGGAGTTTGATTTGGTTGGGGTTTTGCCGACTCCGAACGATTCAGATCCGTTTGGAGTTGGATGCCATGAGTACGTACTCTTCGTAGGAGGCGGAAAGTCGATCCCTTCACTGGTGACCTGAAATCAAAAGCGACTGTACTCAGCAAAGCCCTGTAACCCAATCGGCTTCCGCTGGGAATCAGAACAGATCAACCATTCACTGCTCAGGTGAACGCATGAAACCATGCACAGCAAAGAGGCTTGTCAGGGAATAACTTGTTTTGCTTGGGCTGAACTCGAGCGCTGGCAGCGCAAGGAGGTGAGGGTGGATGAGTTCTACTGCTGTCTCGCCTGGGCCTTGGCCAAAGAAAGTGCCGACCGCGTGCGCGCAGAGCATTTGAGCCACCTGCACGCGGAAGTCCAGAAGCAGGTCGGGAGAAGCGGAAGTCAAACGTCGAGGGGCCCTGGGTTTTGGCGAAGGGATGGACGAAGAATGAATCGAGGTGGCGACGCGGACGACAAGAAGCCAGTAGCAGCAGATGAAGAAACATATCTTTTGAAAAGAATGAGGTGGAACGTTCGGAGAAAAACAAACCGCATGATGGGGCCAGCTAATCTATGTGGCCTGAAACAACTATTTTGCCAGTTGGTCGCTCGAGATGCGCTGTGCCGCATGCTTCCAGCACCAGCCCATCTCGATGGATGCCCTTGGCAACAAAGCCACTTACTTCCACACCGAACCACTGGAGAAAGGGTGCGAGATTCAATTGCGGAATTAAGGATTCAATGGGATTCAGAAGAACCAGACACGAACTGGTGGGACCCGACCCGACCGACCCGACCTCCCAAAACCCTCACCCTCAAGAACTGATCCCAACGAGGTCGTTGGAACCTCCACCTGCCAGGCCCAATTCTTCAATGCGAAGCTCTTAGTCTGGGAACCTACTAGTGGTGTTTTACTGGGGAGGAATGCTGAGCATGGCATGACCACCGCAGATATGATGTGCCGTACCCTGGCCAGCAAGCAGCACGATCATGCTAAACTGAAGGCTTGAACTACGCAAAACTCAAGAGCATTGGGACTCTTGTCATGATGAAATATGCATTGCACCATGTAGGCAAGGTATCACTCACAGCCAGGCCCTGTGCAGGTGAGGAGATTTTTCCCCTCAACCCGCACAAGAGAGCTTGACCAAACCCAGGTACATGTGGGGGGGTGCTTTGGTCTCTATGGCGGGTCATTTGGTTCCCACGTCAGCTGGACAGTAGGATCTTTTCCGTCACATTGGGACATCTCAGACCGTTGCTCCAAACGAGTTCGGTCTCGGATAGGCCAAGCTACACCACGAAGACACAACACCCTTTTAACGACTTGTCATGTTTTGTTCCACGCCTTCTTTCAAAACGCGAAGGATCTCCCGAGAAACCACGCCACGGATCGCCCAGGAATGGGTCAATTGTTGTGCCGTTGGGCTTTGTCCCAGTCTCCTCCGATGGCGCTTCATGTTGGAGTGGATGTGGGCGGTGTGTCTTGCATCACCCTGTCGATGCTTCACTAAATTCTGCATCGCGCGATCGCGCATGGCTTTTTTCAGGGGTCTATTTTACTTTTTAGAAGGGAGTGTCGGTTAAAAGGAGGAAGTTCTTCAAAAAGAGAATACTTACAGTTATAGGTAGATGCCAACTTATCCAAAATGGTCTAATGATCTGCGGCAACCTTTGGTATTTTCACCTTCAGGTTTCCCTCTGACTCACAGCCGCTTCGGAAACCGAAGACTTGGATCATCGATCATTTGGATGGTCGGTTGAAACTCGTCCTCGTTTCCACGCTTTCACCGGCGAGGAGGGAGCTGTTTTCTCCACCGCGGAGGGCTTTTTTTCTTGATTCTTGCTGTGGAGATAGGGAAGTTTTCCAGCTGTCTCCAACAAGAAGCAGGATTTTTAGCTGAACAGCTGTTTGAGCTAGTCTGCTCTAGCTTGCTGACTCGAGTTGTGCGGGGCAACAACTCGGGTAGACACTCCCCCTTGTCAGGCACCCAAAGGAACCGACCCAGCGCCACTCTTACTCGCGTGATCCAGAAAAGAACGCCTCAACAAGCTGGGGCGTTTTCGCGGGTGGTGTGGTTCATGGTGACACTATAGGGAAGCATGTCCCAAATGCAACAACTTTCAAATCAGTTGCACCAGCCCGAACCGCAGCTTTTACTTCGATCTGCAACTGGATGTACTTTCCTTGGAGCATGCCGAGCATGCATGCATCAAAGGATCAAGCACTGCTTGATTCTTTGCTTCGCAGCGATCGCCAGGAAGAACAAAGCCTACCATGGCCAAGCCTATGTGGGCGCACGAGTGTTGTGCTGCTCTGCACAACATAGTGGGATGGTGCACATCTCCAGTCGGGCCAAGGACGACGGAAGAAACAGCAGTCGCTGAAAGACGCACTGTGCCCACGATGTGCCTACTAAAAGTGGAGGCTTTTGCTAGCTGTCATGAAACGGTTTTCATATCCACCTGGAAACCCGGTCCGAACCAGAAACAGTTTTGGTCAATCTGACAATTGAGATCCTTTAATTACATAACACGTGGTTGGGACTGTGAAAACATCTCAAACTGTTTCTAGTTCTTTGGTTTTCCGAACGTGGCTATTTCCCTTGGTCAGTTCAGTTCCTCCCATCGTCGAACACTGTCGTGTGTTGCTGGTCGCCCTCTAGGAGAACCTCCGGGCGGTGCGCTTCGCGAGTATGATCGTGGGGAAAGGCCCAACGTTCTATCTGGACGCCTTTACTGAGGCAGGGCCCGCTTAGCCTCACGCGGACTTACCAGTGGTCATCTGCGCCTGGTGAAACCATGTCAATGTGAAATCCGAATTCCTTCAATCACAATCTATTAGGATCTATTAGGGCGGTTTCGAAACGGTGGTTTTCTGGTCGATCTATTGGGTCGCCCAGGTCCGTGTGGACCGTGTGGACCGTGCATGTCTCGTTGCGACGCGTGGTGCGTCGTGTGGTGCGTCGCATGTTTCGATCTCCATGTCTCGAGAGCTCGATCTGTTGGACGTTGGACAGGTCCTCAAAGAGGAGACGATCAAAACGACCAAGCTCAGCTCCTTCGGCTTATCCAGCCAGGATGCCAGAGCCTTGACTGAGGGGTTCAATCGAAAAACTGGGTGAATAAGTGGGTATACAACATCATAGAATTAGTTGAATCAGTAGAAGATGGTTTGGTCCCAAGCAAGCCAAGGGAACTTTTATGAACTATTATGAACTTTTCGTACCTCTTTCTATATATCTCTTTCTGTATAGTGATAGTGAGTGTCTCTAGGTTTCCACCAAAGTATAGCTGCTTGACGCTGCTTGTGGTCTTACACCCACGGAACACCAGCGCGCACCCAGCTGTACACAGCACATTTGCATACATTTGCACCTTCCACCTCAGGCCGCCGGTTTTTTGCAGTTTTCACAGGCAGCTGCCAGCTGTCGCACCCCACTGTCTTTCTTTCTCCCAGCTGTCTGTCTTGCGCCGCCGGAGCGGAGGAAAGATGCCCCTGGAGGAATTCCGAGAGATTCTGCTGGAACATGCGGTGGAAATCTCTCGCTTTGGAACAGGCCGAGTTCCCGCGAGTTCCTGGACTCCGCCGAACATCGCAAAAAACGTCTCAAAAACATCGCCCCAAATCTCTCAACTGCCGAGATCTCACGTGTGGGCGGGGACTTTCCACGGGTCAAGTTTGGGAGAGTCCGTATTTTCACCTAGTGAAACCAGTTGTTAGTGTCACTAAACCTGCAGTATTTGCCCAAAGCAGCGATGCTGCTTGGATTTCTTTGCTTTGAATCTCTCCTTCCCGACTCGCAGCCCGTCTCTTGGTCTCGGAGAGTCAGGCGGCTTCAAGACGCTGCACCAGTTCTACGAGGATGTGGTCCTCACAGAAAAAAGTTATCTTCAGCTGGTGGGAGAGAACCTCCGACGCTTCGTCGAGCTGGTGCGAATCTCCTTGCGGTTCCGGGCCGCGAACGGCAAACAGAAAGAGCTGCGGATCAAGCATCTTTGCTGGACAAGAGCTGATGTTGGTTTTGACGCAACATCTGAAAGGCTTGCCAGGAAGAGTTTTCTAAGATTTGCTTTGTTTAAACAACCAAAAGTTATAATCTGTTATACGTTATATTATATATAGAGCTACAACAACATACGTAATATATACTGTAAGGACTTTGGAAGCATTCCGCAGTGCTAAATAGACCTTTTGATCAAATGAGTGACCAGATGGGCCAAGCTTCGGCCAGTCTTGAAGAACCAACTCCAAGAACAGTATAGACCGTCAAGCTTTAGGACAAATACATCATGTTCTCACAGCACCAAGAGAAAAAGACACAACACACACCCCTTTCCAACTTCAACCGTCTCCGCTTTATTTCGTGATACGGATGACTCGCGTCCCGTCGGAGTGGTGAGACAAGACCGTACGTCGGTCCGACCGGACCGGTTCAACCTCGGTTCAAGGTCGGTGATGAATCCCGACGGCTCCGTACGGGAGCGGAATCTGCCACTGGCGATGGTCTTGCGGCCCAGTGATGCTGGTGCTTGGCAACCAGCGGTGGAGACATGCTTTGAGGTCAAGTTCGGTTTGAAGGCACCGAGAAGAAAAGCTTCGGAAAAATACACAACACACACCTATATATATATAAGGTCGATTCATAGATTAGCATATAGTTTTCGGTTGTTTTGATATAGACACTCAAACTTGATGATTGTTTTTGTCTATAGAAAACTCCAACACCACCAGCTTAAGACTGTTCTTCCACGATGGACGTTGCGAAGCCTCCGTTGGTTTCTGCGAAGGCTCCGTTGGGAATCGCTCGGCCCGGAGGTCCGAAACTATCTCCATTTGTTTCAGAAACCGACGATTGGTTGTGAAAGGGATTGACGAACATCCATGCTCCAGGAGCCCCGTTCGTAGTTGTGGTTTTGAACAGCTCAAATCTTGTGACCGATCCGGCTCGTCGAGATCGAAGTCGATCAGCTTCTGCAGGCTGAGGTGCAGAAGCTGTGCTTCCACATCGATGACCAAGCATATTCCTATGAAGAGACCATTGCAGATTCCTCCACAATTCCATCCATTCCCACTGTCTACAAGACTCACAGCATTGTGATCCTTGTGAAGAATACCTCGAAGGCTGTGGAAAGAAGGTCAACGTGAAAGAGGTTCTCATGCTTGTGGCTCATCCTGGATCATACTTGTAGTACCTGTAATATAGTGAACATTCCAGATGAAGACCCTTCACTTCTGTTGCGGGTAGCTTTCACAAAAAGAAACACATTGGCACAGAGCGCACCGCGAACTCCGACCGTGCCCACCCCATGTCCTTGGTCCGATCAACAGTCCTGTCCGAATTGGGTTCGCTTGGGCCGTGCGGCAGGAGCCCCTAGTACGCTTTCTTTTGGTCGAAAGGGAGCACACCGAGAGGTGACCGGACCAGCATAACGTCGTTCATTGTTGGTAGTAGCTTCTTGTTACTAGTGGCTACTTGCTCCTAGTAGTACGGCCAAGAGCCCCTAGTAGCGTCCTTGCTCCTAGTAGCGATGCCAGGAGCCCCTAGTAACTTCTTGTTACTAGTAGCTACTTGCTCCTAGTAGTACGGCCAAGAGCCCCTAGTAGCGTCCTT